GCGATGACTTTGAGGCAAGTTCCGTAGCCCAGCTGGACCTGTTCTTGGCCCGGGGAGGTTGCGGGAGACGATGAACTCGAGAACGAGAGCGGTGGCCAGACGGATCTGTAGCCTGTTGCTGCCGGTGGTAAAGACCTTCTCGAGACAGCGTAGGGCAAGCACCTGAGCCTCTATCTCGGCCACTTTATCAGCATCCGCGGCTGTCCCCGCTGCCGACTCCGGATCCCCCGCTTCGACTGTATCGACGGTCTGGACGGTAGCAATGCTCATGCGTCGACGGCGAGCGTGTTCCTTTTCCGTAGTCTCTGAGCACAAGGCTCGCTGCTGGAGCTGCGGCAGTCCCGGGTCACCCGAATGGTAGAGACTCTGTAGTATGACGGGCACGACGATGTTGAGCTGCCGTGACCAGTCTGCGCCGAGCGCCTCTGAGCCTACGACCGCTCTGATGGCCTGAAGGCCTACGTTCCTCCATCTCAGGTCTGTAGCCGTAGTGTTTGTGGTGGTCGAGGTGAAGCTGGCGTACTTGCGCACGACGTCACGGTACTGGTTGATGTAGTCTATATCCGCCGACAAGGCCGTGGCGTCCTGGTGCGAGCAGAACACCTGGAAGGTCGGGATGGTCTCCTCGACCATGGCAATGTCGTTTGAGTGGTGCAGGACGGTATCGAGGATGGCGAGCACGGAGCTGGCGTAGAGAGGCAGGTCTCGCGGCAGCTTCTCTATCAGCGCCGCCAGCAGCTGCATCGTCACCTGTACATTTCTATCAACCCAATTAGCAGGACAACTCAGTAAAAGAGAGAAAGGAGGTAAAGGCCTACCCGAGCTTCTGCCTCCAGACGTCTCTGGCGGCGCGCTTCTCGAGAAAGGCGCCGACCTTGAGGAGCTTGCTGCGTCTGGTGCTGGCATAGTGCAGCAGGTAGCTGAGCTCAGAGGAGTTTGGCCGGACGACCTGGACGCCCTTTTGGAAGCGCGGATAGCACTTGAGGACGAGCACCTGGTGTTTCGGGCGGCATGCCTGGCGGACGGAGTGCATCTTCTTCTCTTCTCCTGTATTCTTCTCTTGTGTCTTCTGTCTGTATCTCGTCGCCTTCGTGGTGATGCTGGACGGTGTCTGCCTGCGTGGCCGCCTGAGGACGACGCTGCTAGGGACGACCAAACATGGATTCTCTCTCTGTCTCCTTATTCCATTCCCTTCTCTCGTATCTGTATCAGTATCCTGTGTCTGTATCTTATGTGTATCCTGTCCTCGTCTGTCCTGCCGACGTCGCCGTGAGTTGTGATGTTGTTCTTTTCCTCGCCTACAAAAACCACTAAAAGGAGGAAGAAGACGAAGAAACGAAGAAACCGCGGGACACGCAAGAAAGAAGCAAGAAGAAAGAAGCAAAAGCCTTCACACGCCAGTCTCTACTACAACACGCACTTGGACTCTCCTTTACGGCCTTTATTATCATTATCATTATCGTATTCTAGTATATTATCAACTTCTACCTACATGGGCGAGCATGTCGAATGAGACTCGCGGCCTGATGACGGA